CCGAAAGCCCCCAGGGCTGCCGCCTGGGCCAAGGCCCCCTCCACCTCGCCCCTGCCCCCACCGTCCTCCCAGCCCCCGCTACCTGGAGGCCTGTCCCCAGCCTTCTCTGGGTTCACCTAAGGCCTCTGGCCCCACCCCCAAGGCCACCTGTCGGACGACGCCCAAAGCCTAGGTCCCTGTGGCTACCGCACGCCTGGCTCGTCCGCTGCAGCCAGGTCCCCTCAGCATAGGCCCCTGTCCCCAGCGTGTCCTCCACGACCCCTCCCGCGCCCCTCCCCTGGTGGCTGGCACACCTCCCACCTGCGTCCCCTCCCCGCCGAGTCCCATAGGTTCTGCCCCGTGTCCCCCACTCCGTACCCCTCCTCCTCTGGTCGCCACTCAGAACAGCCTCAGCGGCAAAGGGAGGGAGGTGCAGAGGCTCGTCGCAGTCACGGGCTCCTGTGAGAACCTCGGCTGTGTCACAGGCTGTGTCCCCAACCTTCTGAGCCGGGTGCTCGCCCTGCCCCGAGGGAAGAGGCTCTGAGGGCCCTGAAAGCCGTTTGCAAAGCCAGTTTCTACAAAGCAGGCTGGGACACGAAGTCTCGTCTATTCAGCTTTGAATTAGAAATTTTCCAAGTTTTATGCCTTCCTTGCGAATTCTGAAAAATTCTAAATTTTCTACAGCCTGGGCGCATTGCTCCTTCGGGGTCGAGGGGTCTGCAGGGCAAGCACACTGAGCAGGAGAGTCACCGAGTCTGAATCGACAGCCTGAATCGGAGCTGACGTGTCCTCGAGGTCTGCACACGCGAATGCCTCGGGGCTGCCAGGGCCCTCGGTGCCGGGACCTGGACCCGCACTGCGAGCACCCCCTGGCCTGCGTTTCTGTAGCAGGTGCCACGTTCCCCCCGGGCAGGGTTTTCAAACTGCCAGGCGAGGCAAACGGCACACACCGCGCTCCCCAGGGGCCCGCCCTGCGGCCACCTGCGCCCGAGGCTGCGCTCCGGGGTGTGCGTCGCCCCATCTGGATTCTCCTGCACTGCGAGGGCCCCGACGCCTGCTGCCTGGGGAGAAACTCTGCTAAGAAGTCAGAGAGAGGACACCGGTGGCCATTCGCTGGGTTCTCCACGAGAGAGAAGGGGCCGTCACAGGCGAGGGGCGGGCTCGGCCCTGCAGGGCTTCGCTGTGCCATGCCCGGCGCTGTGGGAAGGAGGTCAGAGGGGACAGATGTGGCCGCGTCTCAGCAAACGAGAAAGCACCTGGTGAGCAGACCGTGTCCAGCCCCCGTGCCTGGCCGTGAAAAGCAGGCAGGTGCGGGTGACGGACGTGCAGATAAGTTGTCACTAAGCGGCTCCAACGGAAACCCAGGGTCTCGCCAAGCCCCGTGTCTGCGGGTTTGTGTTCACGTGGGGACACGTTTGAGACAGTACGGACCTAGTGAAAGTCAACCCGTGTCCCACACTGTCAAGTACTGACTCAGACCGGGTCAGAGACACACGTGTGGAACCCGAAACCGACACGCTGCTCAAACGGGCACAGCTCTGCACGTGGCGTCAGGCAGACGTCCAGGTGCGACTTTAACCGCGCCATCTGGGAAAGAAGGCGCGAGTCCACCGCGCGTCGTCACGGCCAGGTGCCAGGCTCTTTGAAGGGACCCGTGGGAAAGCGAGCGGGCCGAGCAAACGCCTGTGAGTCACGCACCTGACGACGCATCTTCGTCCAGAGCGTACGAACTTCCCAATCGAGAAAAGACGAACACAGACGGCTCTGCAGAGATGTCTGCACGGCAGGCGAGCGAGCAGCTGCTCCGT